TTATTATTATTACTATAACAAATTCAATAAATCTCCAACTCGAATGTTTGCCAGGTCGTCTGCGAAGAGGCTGGCGTTGGTGCCTACGGGTAGGACATGTACGTGGTCGTTGACGTCTGCCAGGAACAGAAGTACTGATACATGTAATAGCCCGCCCTCAGGGACTCCTGCGAGGAAGCGATAGGAGCGACTTTCTTTTCCCCTCAAAACGAACTCTGGTCCAAAGATCGTGTATACACGGTCTTTGCTCATGGACTTCTGTGGTCTAGACAGGCCTTTAAATCAATCTGTCATTGTAGACAGGCGGGAATTAGATCTACTAAGCTGTCCCCGGTGTTTTATGCACTCCGCATAATGTAGCAAACCTTCATCATTTTTTGCATAATTTTTTATTATTTTCCTTTATCATTTTTGTTAAAATTAACAGAATCGTATAATTTCACATTTTCGGACTCAGTTTGCATAATTTCAGAATCTTTTTATTTTCATAAAACCACGGGGACAGCCTAAGGCAATTATCTTGTAAAAGTTTTGGGTCCGGTATGCCACACATTGTTCAAAGGTTCTTGAAAAAAATATATCATTCCCCCCATTAGGACAGTGCTACTGACTGAAGTTGTCTTTAGGCTATTTCCAAAGAATTTTAAATGGGCTGATTTATCAATGTCGTGCTCATACTGTGCGAGAACAATATAGGGGAAACTGCTACGTTTTCTTTCCTCATCCTTACTATTGTCATTTTTCCTTTACTTCTTTTGTATGTTTGTCACTCTCTTGTGAACTACTATTTCCTGGGTGCCTTGATAGTCGAAGCAAACTTTGTGCTGTTGAGGCTAGAGTAAGCCTGATTCCCTGTTTGGACTTCTTTGTTGACATCAACCTCTTGGCGCTCATATGACCTTATGCAGTTGCGAGCGCCGTAAAACCTTACTAAAATTTAAAATCTATCAAACAGAGTAAGGTTCTCTTTGCTTTGCATCTTGGTCCAGAGTTGTTCTGCAGGTTGCCGGCTATGTGTTGCGTTATTCTGACGATCTGGTCCTCTATGCTGCGCTATGCTCGAAAACCGGCTTGCATTTTGGTCGCTTTTAAGCACAAGGGGGCTATCCCGAAAAATGCGGTTTTGAGAAAATCGAAGGTAAAGTTTTTGGACCCTCGTTCAGTCTCTTTAAAAGAGAAGGAGAGCTTCCTCAAAAAAAAAAATATATATATACACACCAAACTTCTCATACAGGTAGGGCAATGCCCATTTTTGGTGTAGGTCAAGATTTCTGAAACTCTTGAAATTATCTGGGTTAGCCCGCTTGTCCATAAAAGTAAAGCGACCATTTAATTGCAGGGTTTTCGCTGGGTTTCCAAACAGAACGTCATTCTCATTTTTACTAATCTGTCGTATAATTTCCCAACGCAGCTTGTTAGTTGGATGCGTCTGTAGGTCATTTGGGCAGGGTCTTTCCCGGTTTTCATTATAGGAATTATCGTACCTTTTCGCCAGGCTGCTGGGTAGGCCTATTGCTGTCCCCGTGATTTTATGCACCCCGCATAATTTAGCAAAATTAGATTATTTTTGTGTGTGCATAATTTCTGCTTATTTTCTTTTATCACTCTTTGTTAAAATTAACAGAATCGCATAATTCCATATTTTTGGGCTCAGTTTGCCTAATTTCATAATTTTTCTTGCATAAATCGACGGGGACAGGTATTGGGCAGTTTTCCATACTCTATTATAGATATTCAAGAGAGAATTCAGGCCAACTTCAGGAAGATGGGAGAACATCATGTTGTGGATTTCGTCATCTCGTGCAGAAGTATTTTTGAGAACTTGTAGCATTGAGTTCTGCCATTGTCAGGGGTGAGGATAGCCCAGCCTGGCATTGGGATGTTTTCACTGCTCTGTAGTTACATACTTCGATGTATCTTGCGATCAATGTTAATAGTTTCTCCTTTTGCTTCCAGTTCAGCCTTTGTGTCACTCTTGATTGATACAGGAGACTTCACATTACGTTTGGGCAACCTTTTTTGCTTTCTTTGCGTTGTCTGTTATCGTCTGTTGGTTAACTATTAGAGCTGCTCCTTGTGGTGATGATCTTTTACGGATATGTAGGCAAGAGGACATGGCCACCATAATAACAAGGAGAAGATGGAGATGGATTAGGCATGTTCTGAGAAGAGAACCAGACTCTATTGTGAAGACTGCCCTCCACTGGACACCAGAAGGACGTCGCAAAAGGGGCAGACCCAAAGTGACCTGGAGACGCACAGTAGTGTCT